GATGGATTCTGGTGTGAACTCGACCACAAAGTCGGCCAGAACCTGGCCTTTGATTGCTGTCCTTGGCCTATACTCCAAGTCATACTGGCCTAGGGTGACTGCCCACTTGGCTATTCTTCTTGTCAGGTCTCCTTGTTGCAGTAAGGACTTCAAGGGGTGCTCTGTTAGCACCATAATTTTATGGGCCTAGAAGTAATGGTTCAACTTCTTTGAAGCCATTACTAAAGCTAGTGCCAATTTCTCTAAGGGCAGATACCACATTTCTGCATCGGCTAGGGTTTTACTTACATAGTAAACAGCCCTTTGCTCCCATTTTTCTTCTCGGACTAGTACTGCACGTATCGCATGTTCTGAAACGACTAAGTATAGAAACAGCTCTTTTCCAGGTTTTGGATTTGAAAGAACTGGAGCTGTGGTCAAGTACCTCTTCAGGTCGATCAAAGCGGCTTCGCATTCTTCTGTCCACAAGAAGTCTGTAGCTTTCTTCACCAAGTTGAAGAAAGGTCTGCACTTGTCTGAGCTTCTGCTGATGAATCTGTTTAGGGCTGCGGCCCTTCCAGTTAGCATCTGCACCTGTTTTGCCGACGTCAGGCTCTTCAACTCTAGGATGGCCTTGATTTGATCTGAGCTGGCCTCGATGCCCTTTCTAGTCACCAGGTATCCTAAAAACTTACCAGATCTAATTCCAAAGGCACACTTCGATGCACTGAGTCGGAGCCGATATGTTTTAAGGATTTCAATGACTGCTTTTAGATCGGCAAGATGACCCTCAGGCTCCTTGGTCTTAACGACTATCTCGTCGATGCAGACTTCTACTGTTCGGCCAATCAGGTGTTTGAACATTTTGGTTGCCAGTCTTTGGTAAGTTGCTCCTGCGTTTTTCAACCCGAAAGCCATTACTCTGTAACAGTACAGGCCTTTCGGGGTGATGAACGTTGTCTTCTCTTCGCCTGGGGGGTACATGGCTATCTGGTGGTACCCCTTGTAGGCATCTAGAAAGCTCATTCTTCCATGCCCTAAGGTGGCATCTACTAGTTGGTCAATCTTGGGTAGAGAAAAACTGTCTTTGGGATAGGCTTTGTTAAGGCTGGTGAAGTCTACGCAGACCCTCCATTTACCGTTCTTCTTCTTTACCACCACTATATTGGATAGCCATGTTGGGTAGTGTACCTCTCTAATGGCCCTGGCCTCTAGAAGTCTGTCTACTTCTTCTTCTACTGCTTCAACGTGCATCAACGTCAGTCTTCTGGCTCGTTGAATTACAGGTTTGGCCGACCTGTCAACATTCAGTTTGTGGCAAGTGATCTTGAGGTCAATGACAGGCATTTCGTAAGGTGTCCAAGCGAACACCTCAATATTTGCTCTCAAAAAAGTTTCTAACTCTTTTTCCTCTTCTTCGGCTAAGCCCGAGCCGAGAAGAAAGAAGCGTTCTTCATCCCCATCCTGGACGAGGATTTTCTTTAGTGCCTTTTCGCTCTTCTCGGCTGGCTCTTTGCCGACGTCTTCTAGGACTTCCACGTCCTCATCTTCAATTTCTGCTTCTCTGGCTCTCGTACGCTGCAGGTAGATTTCATTGCTACCATGGAGTAATTTTTCGCCTGTAGCTGATCGCCTCTGACTTCCTCTATCCCATGCTCTGTTGGGAATCGCAATAGTTGATGCAATGTTGAGGGAACTACCCCCATTGCATGCAACCATGGCCTTCCTAAGATGATGTTGTAAAGGGAGGGTGTGTCGATAATGGTGAATTCTGTCTTGATCTTCCTAGTGCCAGCCTGCACCTCCAAGCTTACTATTCCCAGAGGCCATGTCGGCGTTCCATTGAACCCAACCATTGGGCCATTGGATTGTTCCATATCATCTGGGTGAAGGCCGAGCTCCTTGTAACATCAGACGTACATGATATCGCAAGAGCTGCCTTGATCAATCAGGATGAGTTTCACTTGGCACTCCCCAACCTGGAGGGATACTACCAAGGTATCATTATGCGGATGCTGGACCATCTCTAGGTTGGCTTCAGTAAAGGTTATCATTGGTCCTTGGCACTCTTCTGCCCGATGTCTTTTCTCCCCGACTTGGTAGACATGTTGCAGGTGCTTTACTTTCTGGGTTTCTCCTCGGATTTCGTTTTCGTTGACCTTCGAGTGGATCACGTTGATTATCCGAGGTCCTCTTGCCTGCGGCTGCTGTGCTGGGGGAGGTGGGGCTACTGGTGCCTAAGGCAACCTTGCCCGTTCTTCCCTTGTCCTGGTCTCATCGACACGGTCTCTCAGATATCCTTGTCTCACCAGGTTTTCTAAATATGTTTTTAGGGCTCTACAACCCTTAGTTGTATGCCCGTCTTCATTGTGGTAGGCGCAATGTTTGCCAATGTTTCTTTTCATGAACTCTTCTGGAGTCCTCTTTGGCATTCTGAAATAGGGTTGGTTCCGAATTTGATCTAGGACTTTAGGAATTGGGATTCGGAACACAGTTGTTACTGTTTGTGTGGCCCTCAGTTCTGCCTCTTGCCATTGTTACCTCGGCCTCACTTCGACGAGCCGTTTCTTTTCACTTGTTTTATCTCCCTGGTTCCCGACGTGTCTTCTTCGGCTCTTGCGTACTTCTCGATTCTCGTTATGAGCTCCTCCATACTTTTTGGCAATGTCTTTGCCAAAGACTTTCGTAGTGGACAGTTGTCTTTTAAGCCATTCTTGAAAGATACGACTGCCACCTCTTGATTACATTCGGGTATTCGATTGAATACCTCATAGTATCTTTTTACATAGGCCCTAAGGCCTTCATCCTTACTGATCTTCAGAGCCATCAATGCGCCCACCCTTAATGGCTACAGCTTGTTTGTCACAAACCTGGCCACAAACATCTCGGCCAGGCCTTCCCAAGTCTTCACGCTTCCCTTCAGTAGTTTGTGGAACTAATCTGATGCAATCTCCCCGAAGGATGAGGGGAACACTTTGCAGAGCAACGGCTCGTTCCCACTATACAATGCCATTGAGTTCAAATACAGTCCAATGTGGAAGTTGGGGTCTGATTTACCATCGTATATTTGAAATCTCGGCATACTGACTCTCTTCGGCTCCTCAAACTTGTCTAATTCTACCGAGAATGGTGTCCTCGGCTTATCTGGGGAGGTTACTGTAAAATTATATGTATTGATGATTGATTTATTGATTGATATTTGATTGATTTCTCGTTGATGTTATTCTGTCTATTACAAATGGTTCCTTATATAGATGTAGGTGTAGTGGATGGTGTGTAGTGGATGGTGATAGTGGTGTAGTGGGTTAGGTTTAGTGGAGTAGGTGAGGTGGTAGTGGTGGTAGGTGATGGTAAATTCTAACAGCCCCCCGCAAACTCAAGGAGGATAGAAACGAACCAACTTGAGTTTGAAGAGAGGAACAAAACAAGAAAATACATAAAAAAAAAAAAATGATAGGAGACACTGTATGGTCGTGTCAGACCGTTGGTGAAGACACTGTATGGTGGTGTCATAACGTTGTAGATGACACAGTATGGGGGTGTCATAACGTGGTAGAGGACACTGTATGGTGGTGTCAGACCGATGTAGAAGACAGTTTATGGGGTCATGTCGGACCGTTGTAGCAGACAATGTTGTGACAGTTGTTGTGACAGTTTACGGAGTCTTGCTGGACCCTTGTAGAAACTAACCGGAATCAATGTCGGGACAGTTTACAGAGTCTTGTCAGACCCATAAAGGAGCTAACCGGAATCAATGTCGGGACAGTTTACAGAGTCATGTCGGACCCATGAAGGAGCTAACCGGAATCAATGTCGGGACAGTTTACAGAGTATTGTCGGACCCTCTCTCTCTCGCCTTCGATCTCGATGAACTCCGACGACCTTCGACAAGCGACGCCTTCGATCGAGCTCTCTCTCTCCCTCACTCGCTTTGCGAGCTCTGTTTCTCTCCTCTCTCTTCGCTGCTTCGATCTACATATAGATACATATATATATTATATAACCTAGAATATTATACAGATATATATATGTATGTATATATTTTTTTTTTATGTTTTTATAAATTATACTTATATATGTATATATATGTTTTTATTTGTATATCATATATAGAGCCTTTATAAATTACATATATATCTGCTTTAATTTATATATTATATATTGCCCTTATAAATTTAAGTGTATTTATTTACATATTATATTTATTGAATTAATGTTATTATGTTAGTTTTAGTTAACAAGTAAAAATATATATAATAAAAAAATTTGTCGTGTTCTCCGCCTTGTCTGTGTCTCCATTTTTTAAAAATTGTCGTGTCTTGTGTCTCTTGTCCGTATCCGTACCCGTACCTGTACCCGGTACATTTTCATCTTGTTGTTGTGATCTTTTTTAGGAGTCACCGACATTTCAATACATTTTTACTGTATGTGTGTATGTGTATGGGGTGCGACCCATATACATACAAATTGAAAGCAACAGAACTTGAAAACAACCTATGCGAAATCCTCTATGCTATAGTCTCTACAAATTCTAGAAATTAGTTGGGGGGGTGTGTGTTTTTGTTTGTTTTGTTTTTTTTTTTTTTTTTTTTTTTTTTTTTTTTTTTTTTTTTTTTTTTTTTTTGTAAAATGGTGATCGGGGTGAGCCCCAACATGAATAAAATGAGTGTGGTGTGCAGTTCTGCTTCTTCTGTCTGTTTGTTTTTTTTTTTAATCAATGTTTCAGTATTATACAAAAGATAAAAAAAAATAGAATAAAATAAAATAAAATAAAAATAGGGATAAAAAAAATATATTATAATAAAAAAATATATATTAAAGAAAGTGAGGATGTGGGCGGTGGATGAAAACAGGTGAGAGGCATTGTGTTTAAATAAAATAAAAGAAAGGAAAAGAGGGGTGACAGCAATTTTTTTTTTAAATAAAATAAAAAAAGAGTGAAGTGAGTGGGTGACAACAATTGTTTAAATAAAATAAAAGAAAGGAAAAGAGACTTTGGGTTGTGGTGTGTTGCTGGGTTGTCAAAAAAAGTAGAAAACAAAATGCACATGGGTTGGAAAGTGAAAAAGAGAGAGAGAGAGCAGTCTGCCAGCTAGCTGCCCACATTTCAGGCCCTCCACAGCAATTGCAAAAGGTGTGAGGATCAATAGAGACATGATAGACAAACATGCGTAGTAATTCATCCCACTTACAGCCTTCCCCTTCATTCCTCTCTTCGAGAATATATTACGGAACACAAATGCCAAATTCGATATCATAGCCCCCATAAACCCAGTCATGTTGAAATTGAGCTCTGTGGCAGCAGAATGAGCACAACCACCAATGATTGGCACAAGTGACAAACTCTTCCAAAACTCAGGATCAGTCTTTGGAGCCTTAACAATCCTTGTAGCCCACGAAATCAGCATAATCAACGAACCCATTGCAAGAGAGAGTGTGGATGTGAGATGGTGCAACTTGTTAGCATATTATATTAAGTGATAGCATATTATATTCACCGAAAGGCACACTAGGGTATGTCTGTAATCACTGTAATCATTTTATGCACTCAGGGATAGCACTCAGGGATCATCTTGTAAATTGCATTTCTTGTAAACCCTAATCCTCTTTTATAAATAGAGGGTGATATTCTATCATTCCCCAAGCTGTGTATGAGTCTTTGAAAACTGTGAGAGCTTGAGATGAGTTGGCGGCAGTGAAGAGGAGTAGGCCGGCGAGACGCTGGGCGACGGTTCTGGGGGGTTGCGCCGGAGAGAAATGACAAGCGAAGAGCACTGGCGGCGAGTAGAGAACCAACGCCAGAAAGTCTAACGGCGGTGACAGCAAGGCAAGTAGCGCGGTGGCGCCGATCGGCAAGGTAAGGAAGAAGGCCAACAGGGTACGAGCAGATGAATGAAATGAGATGTTTTGGGAGGTGTGAATCAGGTCTGTTTGAGATTTGATTATGTAATAGGTTAGGGTCCGGCGGGCGGTGAAGGCAAGGTTGCCGCCCGCCGGAAGGTGAAGCTCACCAAGAGCTAACCTATAGCTCTGATACCATGTAAAATTATATGTATTGATGATTGATTTATTGATTGATATTTGATTGATTTCTCGTTGATGTTATTCTGTCTATTACAAATGGTTCCTTATATAGATGTAGGTGTAGTGGATGGTGTGTAGTGGATGGTGATAGTGGTGTAGTGGGTTAGGTTTAGTGGAGTAGGTGAGGTGGTAGTGGTGTAGTGGGTTAGGTTTAGTGAAGTAGGTGAGGTGGTAGTGGTGGTAGGTGATGGTAAATTCTAACAGTTACCTCGGCGTAGGCATTCTGTTGCTTCCTTTTGAGGTAGTCTCTTAAGTCTTCTTTGCTCCGCCCAAGAGCTCGGCTATCTTTCGACTTTAGTCTTTTCGGTATACTACTCTCGGCCTCGTGGTGAGCCCTTTTCGACCCTTCTCCGTGAGTTGTGTCGTAGCACAGTGCTTGCCCCTGAACATGCCGATGTCCTTTGGGGTCTGCCTCCTTTGTGCAATACGTCCTCCGTGATCCTTCTCTTCTTGATTCTCTTCGTCTGTCCTCCCTAGAAGGTCGGTGAGAGTATCTTTCGTCTCCGTTGTGCTGAGGGGCTACGGGGATTATTTTCTGTCCTCCCTTCTGGGTATTGGCTGCTGGAATCGGCGTGTCGTACAGCGGGTATGGTGGCTGCATAATGTTATTTTGCATCATGAAATTGACGACCGACTGCAGGTCTGCCAATTTGTTTGCCATCTCTTTTACCTCTTCGTCCCTCCGTAGGCACCTATCCTTTCAAACCTGGAGGTCGTCTTCGTTGTAGTACCTGCTTTGATCAGGTTTCTTTGGTGCGTCGCTAGTCTGGCCGACGTCTTTCGCTCCGTGATTTTGTTCATGTGTTTCTATGTTCGACCTTTCTCCTTCGCCATCAAGGTCAATAGGTCTCCCACTCCCAGTAGGAGTGTCGTCCCCAACCTTTTCCTTCTGTCCGTTACTGGCCATCTATTCTACTTTCGTTCCCACAGACGGCGCCAAATTATGTGAGTGATTTTCTAATCACACTGCCCAACTCAGTATTCAGTTGGAGAACACTAGCAGAATAGATGACACTTGGCTAACCTGTAACAGAAAGAGATGTCTCTGGCGGTGGTTTCGACCACCCGGGGGCACTCCGACGATCAAGTCAGTATATCTTTCAAAGATAATCAATAATGCTAAACTCAATACTTAAAGCATAAAATTACGTACCTTAGACCCATGAGGGTGCCTCTCTTTTATAGTTACCTCAATCCTAATCCCATTGGAAGCCTGACTTCTATGGATTCCTGTTCAGTACTTACTTTGGATTTCTCAAGAGATAAAGATAAACTCCCTAAGAGCTTTATCCTTATCTTGACTAAGTCTCTTTTTTATTCTAGGACTCTTGTCCCTTATCTCTTATCCGTTTATCTCAGATTCCAATATCTTCGTAGATAACCTCGGCTTGACCGAGATCACCTCGGCGTCATGACCCTGACACGTGGTACCTCGGCTGACACGTCAGCGTCACTTTGCCACATGTCGGTACTAAAAAATATATCCCCCCACAGAAGTAATAGGAAGGCAAACAACAATATTACAAACTCAAAAAAATTATTTACATTGTGTAAGTAAGTTGGATAATAATGTCTTTGAATTAGAATCATTTCGCACAAAAAGAGTATTGAGTGTATATTGATTTTTGTAAGTTACACTTTGTTCCTTTAAACTTTGGTATTTTTTAACTTTGGCCTGTAAAATTAATTTTTTCTCACTTTAGTCCCTAATATTTTTAATTCTTCCTAGTTTATTCCAGTAGTTAACTTCTATCCAATTTTAAATGGGAAATGTCCCATGTGGCATAATAACACATTACTATAAGTTTTAATATTTTCTCATTTTGATTCTTAATTTTTTATTTTATTTTGGTCCCTAATATTTCTAATTTTGCTAATTTATTCTACTAACAACATCCATCCAAAATTGGATGAAAAATTATGTGTTGACAGTTTTGTGGCATAATAACTCGTACCGCGTTGCCCCTTCCACCAGCACATTACCACTACTTAGTATCACCAATAATTGAACAATACTATTATCCATCGCTCTCTACCTTCTCACTATTACCATCAAGTATTCATTACCATAGCTCATTTAAATTGACACCAACAAACGATGTCATTGAACATCTCTTTATTAAATTCAATTACCAATTAATAGATCTAGAGGATATAAGGGGACGATGGAGCGTGGGGCACAAATTAGGGACAACATGGCTACAGTTTCTCCAATTTTGAATGGATGTTAGCTTGTGGAGCAAATTGAAAAAAAAATTAGAAATGTTAAGAACTAAAGTAAGGAAATCAAAAAATTAAAGGTCAAATGAGAAAACATTAAAATTTAAAGGGCAAAATATAATTACCCAAATTTGTATAAATAATGTATTTATTATGCCACATGGCTATTGGCATGATATTTTTCATCCAAAATTGGGCAGAAATTAATTGGAGTAAATTGAGAAAAAAAAAAGTAAAAATGTTAGGAACTAAAATGAAAAAAAATAAATTTTAAAGGACAAAGTATTCCATTAATAAAATTTTATTTTCCTTATAACCCATAAAAAATGAGGTACATTGATTTTTCTTGATAATTGCTCAAATTGCACCTCAATGTTGGTTGATAGTGCCTTTTACCGATCTATACCTAGAACAACAATGATAGAGACCACTAATTTTAGAGCTCTAAAAAAACCACTAATGACATGGCACTCAATAAAAAAAGAAAAAAAACACAATACCAAAGCCAAAATATCAAATCATTCATGGTGGGGCCTACTGCCACATCATTAGTGAGAGCACTAATTAGTGCTCCCACTCATTTTCCATACCTAGAAACAGACTTATGCCATTTAGACATCGAGCTCCCCTAACAGGTCTTAAAAGTAAACTCCGTTAACAAAACTAATAAAAATTCAAAAGAGCCTTCCACACCTCTTTAGTCTTTCATATCCTTTGCAACCTATTGTCTCACCTCATCTTACTTCTACTGCAATCCACCAGCATCTTTAACTTATTTCACCGTGAGTCATTATCCATTTACCGCTTTACAATCACTATATTTTACTTAATTTCACATATTTTTTATTTTTCCCTTTCTGAAATCCTTTTCAAAATTTTCGACCAAATACAGCATAAGTATTGCCCTATTTGCCTTTTTACCATTGTGAGTCACCATTCACCCATTCAAAACTACAAACCATTATTTTATTCACCTCTTCACTATGTGAACTACCATCACTTTCACTATTTTCACCGCTATGAGCCAACAAACCACCCAATTGTTACACCAAAAAAATAAAATAAGATAAAATAAAAATGCACATGTCCAAACTGGAAAACCCAAAAAATCACCACTATCTTTTTTGTTCAACCCAAACCATCAAACCTAAAAATCTACCATCAAATCCAAAAAATCAAGAATTCAAGCCAAAAAAAGAAAATCAAAACAAGAAAAGAGTTAGGTAGACGAGAGATAGAAAATTGATTTGGTCATAAAGTTGTGGGTCATTGGTCGGAGTGACATTACTAAACAGTACTGGACATGTTAATGAACAATCAGTACTCAATTTTTTTAAACTAAAATTACAGAACTAAACAAGTTAAATGAGAAACTATAACATGAAAAAAATAGGGCATCAATGGTAATGGTAGAGATAAGAGTTGGTAGTGGCATGTTAAGAGAAGAAAATAGATGTCTGAAACAGAGGGAGTAAGAAGTCGAAAAACAAAAAAAGAAAAAAAAAATGAGAACACACATTCATAGGAGAGAATGAAGAGAGGAGTGAGAGCGAAGGAAGTTTTGATTAAAAGGTTTGATCAATTTTTATCAAAATTTTTATATTTCTTTAAGGGCAGAATAGGAAATTTAATTCAAAAATACATACATCATTAGATTAGATTCTATCCACAAGGAATCCCAAACGGTGCGGGGTTCAGTGTAATACGATTCAAATACAAAAGGAGGCAAGTGTCATTTTTTTCAAACTAGTGGGGTTGGATGTATAATTTAAGTAATTATCCAGGAGGTCCATGTAATTTGGCCAAAATGACTGTTTGCTGAGGGCTCCCCCATCTCATATACTTGCGCAGAGGTAGAAGAGGCAACCAACCATCTCATCATCAACAACAACAACAACAACAATTTTACATACAGAGATACGAGCACATACATACATATATATATAGAAAGAGAGGGCTTGTGTGTTTCAAACTCTGATAGCTTTGATTTGATTTGAAACATGGAGGGCTTTCAAGTCTAGGGTTTGTACAGAAAAGTCTAGAGAGAGAGAGAGAGTTTGTGTGTTTTAGAGAGAGATGGATCCAGAGCAGACGTTTATTCGGGTCCAAGAACGGTTCTCCCAGATGCTGACGCCGAGAATTAGAGCATCGCTGGAGTATATATACCTCTTCGTTGCAATCACGCTGTTCTGTATTTTGGTTGTCATGCATGCCAATTATGTTCAACAGGTACAATTCTCTTTAACCCTAAAAAAAAAAAAAGATTTGTATTTTGCTCTATTTTTATTCAATGTGCAGGAGAAATTTGAATTGAATGTTAATTCCTCTTATATGAATAGTTTTGAAGTTCAATTGGTAGTTTATCAAATGTGAAATTTAGCTGATAATGTGCATCTCCTTGGTATGGAACTTATGTAGTGTTTGGTTTACTGGAATAGAGTGGAAAGGAATTATCATTTCATCAAAATATTCATTCTACATTACAAATGAAATCATTATTCCCCATTGTAAAGGAATGATAATGATCATTCAATTACGTTCCATTCTATCTTATTCCGGTGAACTAAATAGAGCATTAAAGTTTAATTTACTGCTGTGTAGCTGTTATTGTTGTTATTATATATCATTTACATCGAACAGTTGTTAGCAGGCATTGCAGTGAAAAAAGTGTATGTTTTTAACAATTGTCAATGTTTCAGCATTAGAAGATGAACAAAATATGGAAAAGGGTTCAAACTATTACTGATGGAATACCAGAATTTGTAATGTTCCGAGATTGAATTTTTTTAATTTGTTTAAATCATTGGGGACATGGTTGTTTGTTAATTATCAAAGTGTTTTTTTTTTTTCTTTCTTTTCTATCTTATGTCTTGTTAACATGTGTGCCCTTCGAGCACAAGTTAAGAAAGTTTAAAAAGGTTGTATATTTTGTATTGCACACATTTTGATGTAAAATGTACAATATTGCACACATGTGCGATAACAAAATCATTTTATCTTTATTTTATAAATTTATATCAGCATTCTAATTAAAAGTTAATTGATGAAGCCTGGCTGTTCAAGTCAGCTTACTGGTGTTGAAACAACTGAAGCCCAGCTTATTCAGATCAAGGTATGTGAATTACTTGTTAATGTAACTTTAGCTTTGTTATTGCTTGCTTACAACTATAATAGAAGCTTTAGATTTTAAAATGTGCAGAGATGGGATTAATAAGTATATCTGAAAATTAAAGTCTGAAGTGCGATAACAAAATCATTTTATCTTTATTTTATAAATTTATATCAGCATTCTAATTAAAAGTTAATTGATGAAGCCTGGCTGTTCAAGTCAGCTTACTGGTGTTGAAACAACTGAAGCCCAGCTTATTCAGATCAAGGTATGTGAATTACTTGTTAATGTAACTTGAGCTTTATTATTGCTTGCTTACAACTATAATAGAAGCTTTAGATTTTAAAATGTGCAGAGATGGGATTAATAAGTATATCTGAAAATTAAAGTCTGACACATTTAAAGAGAGAGGGTAATCATAGAATCAAGAAAAGAGGAAACATAAAGAAAAAAGAAGGTATAAAGTTATGGTGGTTTGCCATAACTCACGTGGCTGAAATGGCTTGTTGTCTAATTGGAATGGGTCTTGTTGCCATTTTCTTCTCACTCTGACTCTTATTTGGGAGGAGAGAGAGCTTCAATCAATTGAGTTGTCTCTTATTTTTTTAACTCCATACGTTTCTTACTGTAATTTTTAGCTCTTGTTTTCCTTTCACTTTCTAAAATCTTTCTCTGGGACCCTATATGTCTCTAGTGTGTGTCCAATCAATGGAAATTTGGGTCTTCTTTGTCTAGAGTATGTTGGGTTCTAAATATGTTTAAAAATAATAAGGGTAAATTACATAGAGCTCCCTTGAGGTTTCTAAACAATGGAAATTTGTGTCAAATGCATGTCCAAATCAATGGGAATTTGTGACTTCTTTGCACAAAGTATGTCTGGTTCTAAAAATGCTAAAAAAAAATAAGAATGACATTGATCTCCCCTGAGATATTTAACAATTACAGGGACTTCCCTTGTGGTTTCTAAAATGACATTGGCATCCTTTGTTAGGCCCTGTTGTTCTTGTTGTTGTTAAGACACCATAAATCTCTTTCCTTTTGCTAGAGATAAAAATAAATAGTGGTATTCCTTGTCATTAAACCCAAAATATATATATATATATATATTTATGCGTCGAATAAACTCTTGCTCTCATTTGCCTGGAATCCCTGATAATTTTTTAGTGAAGACTAGCATGTACTTTGGTGGTGAATTGAGTTTATTTCATATGTTCAATGAATTGCCATTTTTATGGAAACCATTTTTGTTCTTTGGTGTAGATTACCAGTGCTGGCTTGTGGTCACAAAATGTGCCTCAATATGATGTGATAGATGTTCCTGTCAAGGAAACCAAGACTGAAAATTTGGAAGTTGAAGGAGGAGATGGATTGATATTTTTGGCCACGAAGTCTTTGGTTAACTGGGTTGGTTCTAGCGCCAAGAAGGACAAATTGACATTCAAATTCTGGAAGCCCGATCATGAACATCTTGAATCTCAGCCAGAAACTTCTTCCAGCAGTGAAAGCTCTAAGCCAGACGTTGATGATGTGGTCCTTAAAATCAACAAAGAGGAATCTCGTTTTAGGTTTCCTCTATTAGCCAAGGAGTCATTTAAAGCAGCAATAGTTCGCATTTGCAGAAAGTGGCATGGACGTTTATCTTTCTGTTGGAGACATGCAAAAAGGATCCTTGGGGGTTTGTGGGTGAGTCTTATGATTATCTTCCTCTAGGTGAATTCATGGTAGTTTGTACTCTTGATATAAATTTTTTTATTGCATTATCATCCTATTAATTAGTTGATCTTTTTAAGGAAACAAAAATATGCATATGGATTCAGTAACTATTTTCCACGCTCATTCACGATCAACTACATCTTGCATGTATAAGCACCACATTAGTACATGATCACATACCTGACATCTTAGAACGTGGTGGTGATGTTTTAATGGACTTTTCCAAATAACTCAATTTGAATTTTTCCTAATAATTCAATATAAATGAATTCTTAACTTGTATATAATAAAAGAATGGCCAGATATGATGCATGTCTGTATCATTTGTTCAGGGATGAGTGAACATGTTGAATTTTTCTCAGAAAATTCCTTAAAATGGATACAAGTTAGCTTCCTGATTCTAATTGACCCATGGGACACTGGAATTTGTAGAGTTGACACCAATAGTAAAATAAAACCAATAGTTCATTATTTTACATATGAAGCATTGGATGCTTGTAAAGAAGATGTTATCGGTCTCTTGAAAACAATTCATGTAGCATTCTAGTGTATGCAGCTAGCCAGACATTCCATTAAACAGAATATAAATATTTACTGCCGACCACTACTCAAATTGGTTCTTGGGAATAAGGCAGAGTCTAGTCTGAATTTAAATATAAAAATTGGAAATAATGATTTCAGAGTTGTGTCTTATTTGTAATTTTGCCCCTGTTATTGTTTCTTAATGTTTTATCAATTGGGTGTACAAACAAATTATTCCCATCTACATTGTTTGTGGCATTCTACTCCATCAAAGTGGCATATCTGCATTTTATACTTCTCATTTCAGTATTGGTGGGAACATTTGGGTGGTTATACTTCAATTTAGCTAAATCCATTTTGTATGCTTGGTGTTTGTCTCGTTGGTTCTTAAGTCTGTGAAACTGAATTGAGTTTCATTAAAGTTTAGCACTGGTTAGTTACAGTAACACTTCTAAAGTAGTTAACCTTTATCGGGTTCTAACCAAAGTTGCATTCCATGCATCTTGTGTTGAATTTATTAGGTTTCTTGAGGGCATCAAGAAATGTATTTTTCATCTCTCTGGTTTCAACCAGTAACTAATGGGTTTGAGATTAATATAGATGTGACTTATTATTATTCTCTACTCTCTCTCGCTCTCTCTCTCTCTATATATATATATCTACATATTCTTCTTCTTTGTTCAGATAGATAATTAGAACAAGATTAAGGTGTCTCTAATTTGATAACTTGATCTATGGTGTCACAACATAAATTGCTCTTCTCTAATATTGAACTATTTGAATGCAGAATATTGCAGGTATACATTTGAATCTTGATATTCCTAAATGGCTACATATACTTCACTTGGACCGGCTTAACTCATATGCAGGTAAAGGTTATGCTTTCAGGTTGTTTGTTTCTTGTAATTTAACAGCATGTGTTGTGTGTATTTCATGTCAAATATGAAATTCGATTTGTAAGTTCTTCAATGTGGAATACCTGGCCAGCTAAACTTGCAAGCTATCTAATCTCCTGGTAAAATCATGGAGGAATTTGGGGAGAATTGGAGTACTCTTTTTGAAATGTTTGTCCCACTTCTTGTTGAACACTTGTAAACGATTCAATTTAAATTATAAAAATAAATAATAAAAAAAACTGCTTGCTGTTCAATTTGGCTTTTGTCGAACTGGTAACGTTTGGGGCTCATCATTGTTTGTTTACTTGAACTATTATATATGAACTCTGCAAATCTTCTTGTTTCTTGTGATGATTTTTTGATATGCATGTTCCTTTTGATGATTAAGTCTACTTCTGTAATGAGTGCTACTGATAATAAAAATTAAGTTACTTGCCAAAGGAATTGATCAACTGAGATGTTGAAGTTGGCTTTTTATCTTTTTTCTGATGACACTATTATCCAAGTGTCAACTATCCAACAGCGGTACTTCACAAATTTAGAAGTCATCACATTTGAATGTCATTCTGTATCAGCCAACACAATGGCTCTACAAATGATGTGTAACATCTTGATTCCTGATAGACGTGCTCCTGGTGTTGATATTTAGAAATTAGAACCATAGTTTCACATATTATTTGCAAAAGATGTAACATTATATGATTTACAATGCAAGTTTTCACATGTATCAGAAAATTTCTCCATGTTCTTAAGTTTTGCTTGATTATTCAGTGTTCTGGCTTGAAAAGAGAAGCAAAGCATTTGAACCAACTTATTTATACACAATGGAAAAGGTTAGTTTACCTTATTTGTTCATTTCTCCTTGAAGTTGATGATAACTGTTCATGCTTGTGAAGTCTCTTTTATTCTTGTGCTGTATTTGAGTGCATTTGTCTTTTAGGGTTATTTCTTGCTGCCTGAAGCATCCAGGTCTCGGCACAACATACGTACCGTTAACATTTGAGATGAGTAGGATTGTATATGAGCCGACTTTGGAAACAGGTTGTGCTCATATGTCTCCTGAAAATAGTTACATATCATGATTTACCTTATGATGTCCTCTTGGAAGGAACAATACTTTGCAGGTTTATCTATGCTCTTATTGAACATCAGTAGTCTTGCAACATTAGATCCCTGCATTTAATGAACTTTATCCAAAATTTCATTAAACTGGCTATTAGTATATGAGAAGTAGATATTTGTTGAAATTTTCTAATAGCTCATAATTGATATAGACAGCAAAGAATTTAAAAAATAAAAAATTCTGCAATCTATTGAGTTTTAAGCATATGCATGTAAGGATAGCATGACATTTTTTTTCTTGTTCAGGTGGCAGCAACTTCTGATAAACAGACTTGTTGGATATGATACTATTTTGATGAATAGTCTGTTGAGTTCTCCCGGTCAAGGTATTGAGTAGCTTTTTGTCAATGGCATACCTGTTTATGCATAAAATTTTCTTCTTTGTTGTTGTAGATGACATCTCACAAAAGAATATACTGCTGTATGTTGGGTGGTGTTATTGTTGATTCTTCATGGTTTCTTATGTTGGTTGGTAGTCAATTGTTATTTTCTTCCACATGTAAAGAAAAAAAGGGGCAGTTTTGTTGTCAAATTGTTAGTAGCCAAGTTTTGTTGTTTTTGTTATTTAGGCATGGACCTATGTTGTAAATTTGTTGGAACCTTGCTGGCTCATTTTAAGTGCAAAGGGTATTCTTCTCTTCCACCTGCTGATTTATTGTGGTGCACATAACCAACTACATTTACCTTTGAAAAATGTGAAACTAACTTGGTTAACTTTTTTTTCTTCTTTTCCTCTTAGTAGTTTGGTTATTCCACAAATTAAAACAAAATAAAGATAAAAGAATGGAAGAGGGAAGAAAAAAGGAAAAAAGTTTCGCTGAACCAGCATACTTTATTGTAGGGGCTACCTGTGGCCTTTTGCTACTTAAATAGGTGAAATCACATACACAAGTATGGTTATATTCATTTGGCTTCCATCTGTTAAAATTCTGATTTTTTAGCAAACATAGCCATTTTTATGCCATATACATCATGATATTTTAAACATAATTATTCAATAGGTGCTTTTTGATGCTTAATTTAGTGTGATGCTTGCAGTTGGCATATTAAAATGGTACTAATACTGTTAAATAGATTGAGTCGTGGTGATTTTTTGTTAGTTCATATTTTGTCTAAGTATTTATTTTTTTGATATTTCCAAGCAGGTTATTTATATAATTACCAAACAAAGGAGTTCTATAATCTTACTTATGCACATGAGCAACCTGAAAGTGCTGCAAAATTTGGAGGTTTGTAAGACTTTTGCCATTTAGCTGCATTATTGTTGTGCTTTTCGTTTAAAGGTGCTGGTGCTGCATATCTGATCGTACAATTCCAATTTTAATTTAATAAAATAATTCATTAATGCGACTGAGGATCACCTTTCACGTTGCAATTGAGCAGTGTATTTATGCATAAATTTGAAACCAATTCTGAAAAGTTGTTATTGATTTTAATTCCAAATGTTGTTCACTGGATGACTTGTTGTATGGGTTAGTTGAAAATGAAATTGATATCTTAGGTTTAAACCCTTCTTGTAGCAAAGTAGCAGTGACCAGATACTGCTGAAGTGCTGTAAACAAAGCAGCTACTACGAATAATTCTAATGGAGAGTTGTTCATATTAGTGTACTCAAAGTTCCTAATATTTATTTTAATGGTTATTGTACATCATCGTATTTTTGTCATTCTAGGTAAGATTGATAACATTGGGTTTTGATGAAATGAAACACTTGAAATTTATAATCTAAAAAAACACATCATTCCTAGTCGAGTTAATAACAGTAGAGTTGGTTAGTAGGGCTAGATTTAGGGAAGTCAAGATTGTACCCGCAAAGTCATTTAGATTAAATACTTAAAATGGGTTTATTTGCAGGTTGAATGAGTTCCAATTCTGCCACAGTGGAGTTTGTGAATGGAGCTAGATTTAGTGAAGTGAATATTATACCTGATAAGTCATGACTTGAAATGGGTTTATTTGCTGGTTTGATGAGTTTTGATTTGACCATTGATGCCTATAGACCCTAAACCATTCTGATCTTTAGTTCGTCAATGACGTGAGATGAGTAGGATTGTATATGAGCCGAGTCAAGCCAATTAATAGGTTTGAAAACTTAACAAGTTTGAAAATGTGTTACCCGAGGACACTTAATAGTGAAAATAAGAAAATTGTTCATAAATGAAGCACTTATAATTAAAGCAGCATTTAGAAGGCCATTTTATTTTTGAAAAGGAATTTCTAGGAAGTCTATGACTAGGAATCCTAACATTTCCAAGGTTAGTCATCTGAAATATCTTTTATTGCATTGCTTTTTGTCATGCATTGGTTACATCTGTCATCATATAAATGTATTTCGGTTGTAAACTTGAAATTTTTTGTCTCCCACAAAATTACACATTTTGTAATTTTTTTGGGTGCCAGAATTTTATATGAACAAGACACCATGGTTACTCTTTGCTTTGCTGTGCTTTATTATTATTATTTTGCAGATTATCTTGTCACCAAGTGTGGTGTGCTTATGATGTCGCTGTTTGTTTTCTTCACAACTACAATGTCAGTTTCATTTACGTTGAGAGAGACACAAACTCGCATGCTGAAGTTCACTGGTTAGTTTTTTCTATTCTTGTAATTAGGTAACGACACTGAACACACACACACACACACCCCCCCCCCCCCCCCCCCCAAAAAAAAAAAAAAAAAAAAAAGGTTTTGTTTTACAAATGTGGAATGGTCAAAGCATCGGTGTATATATTTGTGTACTAGTTTTGGTCTATCCATGGGCTGGTGAAAGGACCTACAGCAGCCCATCACTTATGATTTGAAACTGTAACTATAAGACCACAGCAGGGGGTGATCTAGTGGTTAGAATGCAGTCATTTGCCTCATACACGTCTTAGCGATCACTCCACTAGTGAGGGCAGTGAGCTGGCTTTGGGGTCCCTTTCGTCATGGGTAGCGGTTGCCATCTCCTTCTCCTACTCTTGCTTGGGATCAAGAAATTGTTTCTGTAAGAAATAATGTATAGAAAAAAAGAGAGAGAATAAATTGTATGTATTATTATTGATTGATGTAAATTGATTTCATATTGTGTATTATATTACAAAGCAGAGTAGCTCATTATATAGGAGAGGGTTTGGGTAGTAGGTGAGGAGTAGGTGAGGGTAAATTGGTGGTAGGTGTAGTAGGTGTGGTGGGTTAGGTTTAGTGGAGTAGGTTTAAGTGGGTGAAGTAGGTGGAGAGTAGGTGGGTTTTAACAGTTTCTACAAGATTTGAACTTATGAGTCAGAGACTGAGAGGTGTTCGTCATATGTCCTTGGATGATGATGTCCTGGAATACAATCTATGTGTCTGTGGTTCTGTTGGAAGGTCCTCCATTCATTGATTGGTCATGGTTGATCAGAGATCTATAGGGGAGCCACTCTATGTTCTGCTATGTCCTCCTTCCTTCATGTACATTTGATTGTCTCCTTTTTCTCAAATTATTTCAGTGCAGCTTCAACACCATGCTCGACATCGGCTTCCTACATTCCAGCTGATCTTTGTGCATGTTATTGAATCCCTCGTCTTTGTACCGGTAAGTGTATATATTTATCTGTCTGATATTACATGCCGTTGTGGTTTTTCTCTGATGTACGAGGGTGATGCTCCCTTGGCGTCCAATTAATATGTACCTTATCAAAAAAAAAAAAAAGAAAAAAAGAAAAAGAAAAAAAAAAAGGAAAGCCATTGTGGTTTATAAAACTTTGTTTTGAAAGTCCTACAATCTATTTATTCTTGTCTGGCTTTCATTCACACATCTTTCGTTCTCATTCTCATTTTCTCAGTGGACTCTCATAATTCTTTTCAAATGAAATAATTGTAAGTTTGGTTTCTGCAGATTATGATTGGTATTCTATTTTTTCTGTTTGAGTTTTATGACGACCAGCTGTTGGCTTTCATGGTCTTAATTCTCGTTTGGCTGTGTGAACTATTTACTCTGATCAGGTCTCTCTCTCTCTCTGTCTGTGTGTGTGTCCCAAGGACAATTGTCAATTCACTTATCTTCAACCAACAATAGTGTGTGCATATTTTTCACCATTTGTTCGGACAAGGTAGCCACTGTTGCATGCCAGGCTCATAAAATTTCTATCACTGTAAGCATCATTTGCTATTGATATGGATAATTGGTGCCAGAATGACTACCAAATAGGTCGTAAATTGGCCATGAGGGTTGAGGTCTAGTTATAGTGGCCCTGGACTGAATGCTCTGTATCAGCATTGTTGCACTGCTTGTTTATTCCAAAAAAAATTTGGTGGATTTTTTTTTGCACCAAATTGTAACAAGCATGGAGGTGCTTGGAGGTCTTGCTGTGCTTGAGCGCTTGGGTTGATGTAAAGTCAGAACTTTACCCTTTTAAGATTGAGCAATTTCAGATAGGTTTAAGACCAGCTTAGAAGATGTCACTCATGTTATCAGCAACTTGACTCATACATGAGCCATTAAGGTGATATGGAAATTTTGGTGCAAATTGTGTTATATTTTCTAAATGGGTGGTTTTGGTTTTTGTAAATACCTAAGTGGGGGCCTACCTTTGCCCAGTAGATGGTCTTAGATATATGTTACATGTTTCAGTGACATTTTATGGCAAAAGTTGCATGTATCAAGCATATGCCATTTTGTATACATATATATGTTACTTTTTAAATGATTGTGTTTGCTATTATTTGGCAGTGTCCGCACACCAATATCTATGAAGTTCTTTCCTCGGTTCTTTTTGCTCTATTTTCTGGTGTTTCATATCTATTTCTTTTCATATACATACGGTATGGTTCTGTGTTACATATCTTTTTTTCAATATTTAAAGAGGGCTTTTTTCTTCATTTTAACATAAGCTCCAATAATTTCCCAGGTTTTTCGTATTTGGCTCTCTCCACAACTGCAGCATTTATGCAGCACCTCATCCTCTACTTTTGGAACCGATTTGAGGTAAAATTTATTATTATTATTGTTCTCTCTCTTTTCGATTTCCTTACATTTTTCATTATGCCACTTATTCCTTTGCTAAAATCCATCTCAGGTTCCTGCTTTACAGAGGTTTATGCAAAACCGCCGGTCACAGTTTCAGCAACACCCGGATTTCCACATCACATCATCTACAATTCTTGCCTCGACCTTGCATATCACTAGATTAAACACAAGAAACCCAAATCCAGTTAATACAGATCTGATCTCTGGAACTGGACCTAGGGCTGGATCCAATCCAGTTATACCGACGACCAATACAGCAGAACTTCCTGGATTGCGAGGACAAGCAGAGAACGACAACTCAAATAGGGGGCCCAATCCTTTACAAGTTGCAGGGCAACCCGACATCCCCCAAGCAGAGACTGGTGCCAACGCTGGGACCATGAATTCGTTTAGTAACTTGCTACTGTGGATCTTGGGCGGGGCTTCGTCTGAAGGGCTCAACTCGTTTCTTTCATTGTTTAGAGACGTGCGAGATCAAGGCGGCCAAGTTTATCCAGAACCAGCCAGGCAGGAAAATCATACATCACAAAATGCTCAATAAGGATTGGAATGTTGGTTGGTCCTTGTATTTTTGAATGTTTAATTTTAATGTCATTGTAAAGATTTTTGTAGGAATATTAGTTTATACAGAAATGGTTGTATAAACTCTTTTTTCTTTTTTTTTTTGAACTGATGGTTGTATAAACTGGATATGGAGTAATGGTCAACAACAACGGTATTGTTAACAAACAGAAGCTGAAAATAAGAAAGGGTAAAGGAAAAAAAAATGTTATAGTTATTAGTGAAACTCATTAGATGTGTGTGTATGTTTTTGTCATAAGAAAATTATTGTTTCATTTGTATCGAAGATCTTTGAATTTTGGCTCTGACATTGGTTAAGGGAATTTTTTCTTTTAAGATAAAAATCAAAGAGAATGAATGGATCATACATATAATAGATTGCGGTTTGATTCTTGACCATGTTGAGGGATTGCGGTTTGACATATAATGGATCATACATATAATGGATCATACATATATTCACATAGATTCTTGACCATGTTGAGGGATTGCGGTTTGATTGGTTGTGTTTTTTGTAATTTAAAGGGAGAAAAGACCATTTTGAGGGATAGCAATGTTGACTAAATTGCTTGATTTTTTTTATTTTTTTTTATTTTTAATGAAAAGAGAAAAGTGATAAACTCTTAAAAAGTATTTTAATTAAACATTTTAATGTTTTTAATAAGGGAAAAATAACCTTTTTAAAAATAAAAAGTAAAATTTTTTTAACCATAATTATTTCTTTTTAAATATTTCTCTTATGATAAGACATAGGTAGATATATGATGCAAATAAAAAAGTTGAAGAAAATAATTACAATTTTATCATTTTATAATTAAAATTTTAATAATTAAGGAATCTTGTTAATGTGTCATCATGTAACTTAAAAGATTACATATTATTTAGTATATACATTTTTATGTGAAATGAAATGTATAATTTTTAAAATTTTCTATTATTTATTTTGTTTATATTTTCTACTTAATACTTTTTCATGGGCTATCGACCCGTATACCCACTACACCGACCCGATCAACAACGATGAAAACACTATGGCAGACTGTGCTGCCGTTGGAAAATAAAAATGAAAATGGAGAGAGAGAGAGGGAAGCTAGTGTACAAGGTGTACAGAGCCTTGAGCTACGGTCTATCACCGCTGCTACACCTCCACGTACGGTGGCGCAAATTCCGAGGCCTCGAACACCCTCTCCGGTGGCCGGAGCGCCTCGGCCGCCCTTCTCTCCCTCGCCCTCCTGGCCCCCTGCTCTGGTTCCACGCCGTCTCCTTAGGTTTCAATTTCTCTCTCATACTATTTATATATATATATGTGTGTGTGTGTGTGTGTGTGTGTGTGTGTGTGGCATTGTTTGGATGAAAAAGAATGAAATATTCTCATCAATTTTTTATTTTTTTATCAGTTTTTGTAACTGTTCATGCTTGTTTTTAGGGTAAATCATACTTTTAATCCATGTAGGTTTTTAACAAATTGGTGCTCACACTTTCTAAGTCTAGTTTAAATTTAGTCATTGTTACAATTAATGATTTTTTGATACTTGTCAATTTCTTGAGGTAGAAAAAATTAATGAAAATTTTTGACGAAATGAGCAAATTCTTAAAAGTGTAAGAATCAATTTGTTTAAATTGAAATTATAGGGACCAAAGTGAAATTTACAAATAATGATTTTGTAACATTTGTCAATTTCCTGAGGTGTAGAAAAAATCAATGAAAATTTGGATGGAATGAGCAAATTGAAACTGGACTTAAAGTGGAGGGGTCAAATTGTTCAAATTGAAATAATAGGACTAAAGTAAAAATTGACTCAAACTAAGAATTGGAAAAGTGTAATTTGCCCTTGTTTTTATTGTTTAGAATGTTTAATTTTCCGTTAAGTTTCCTACATTTTGTATTTCACTGAAAACAAACAGGTTATTGTTTATTTTTATTGATTTTGTTATATTTGTTTTGTCATTGTTGTAATTCTTGATCAGGTGAAGGAATGGCTGCAATTCCTGTGGTAAAATGCTGCATTGAGCGGAGGCCGGATATAAACATCTTGATGACAACAACAACTCTGTCTGCATTGTAAGTTGAAATCTGTTTCTTTTGTGTTTTTCCTTTTTATTTGGTTGTTGAGTTGAGATTATGGTGTTTGCTTTATTAATTGATTTTTTGGGGAAAAAAAATTATGATACAAATTTCTGATTAATCATTTATTAAACAATATCATTTTTAGGTATTATATAGCTTTTGCTGTTGTATGAGTGAATCTTAATATAAAGAGGCTGTCCTGCATTTTGGGACATCTGTTTTGTGGATTGATGTAAGTTGTAGTTAACATTACCAATGTCTGCAAGGAATAAAATCCATGTTTTAAACAATGCAATGCAAGTGAATAAAATCAAGAGTGATAAAAAAATAAAAAATAAAAAGGATTGAGAAGAATACTAGTTATGTGGGTCTCCATGTGTTTTTTTTTTTTTTTTTTTTTTGGGGTTTTAATGTTATATGATTAGTTGGTCACTAGATTGTCATATTTTTCGTTTCATTAAATTTTTTTTTTTGAATGTTGGGATTATACATTTTGCCCCCTCTGTGCAGTGAAGTAATAAAGAATCAGCTTCCAAGTGGTGTCTTATATCAGGTACTTGTTCCTCACATGATATTTTGTATTTGTTGATGCTTATAATTATTATCATTATTTTTTTTTAAATTCTTGTTTACTATCCTACTTGATGATGGTACAATTTTTATTCAACTTCTTGTTGAGTTTTGAAATTCTTGGCCACATCAAATCTTTTGTGAGTTGAGGAATCTCTCACTTAGGATTCATTTTCTTTTCTGTAGCATCCATACAGTTTTACTGACATTTGCAGTTCCTTGATGGTGTAGTAGGCCATTGTTTTCCCCTTTCACATTGGCATTTGGGATCTTATACGCCTTCAATTGCCATTTCTGGCCACGAAGTCAAACTCAGAAACTTCTTTTTATGCCAAGAATGGAATTATTGTAGAATTTATTGATGAAACTGCATGGAAGTGTTCATTTTTTCACTTGTTCTTACTTGGCGGTCTTTGTGGTTGTGCCTGTTCTTCTATTTCTCCTCATGGAATGCTAAATTTTAAGAAATTGTAGAAATGCTAGGTCAATTGACTATAATTCCTTCATGATCAATCCGCAGGCAATGACCTGTAACCAAATTGAAGGTCTGATGTGGTTTTGGCAGGGTTGGAATCTCCACTTGCTATTTACTATTTTTCTTGAGTGCTCATGGTGTACTTATATGTGTGTGCATATATCTGTATATATATAGCGAGAGATCCCTCTTTTCATTTTCTGTGCTGCTTATCTAATATGAACTTCTGGTAAAAGCATTTTTAGTGATGGCATGTAATGTTTGTTCATTACTATTGAACTTTTCTCAAATCACTTTTGTGCTGTTTAGCTTAAAAAATAGACATATCATTTTGCTCATATGTATTCAAACCTTCTGCATGAACCAGTTTGCCCCACTTGATATACCTGCTGCCATGGATGCTTTTCTTGGTCATTGGAAGCCAAATGCGATCATGCTAATGGAGAGTGAACTTTGGCCAAATCTGATTATGTGTGCCTCCAAAAATGGTGTAAGTTGTTTTTCAATGAAATACACTTTTTAACATGTACATGCTTTTGAAAATGATAAATGAATTCCTTTATCCAAGCAAATTTATTTTGACTAGATCATATTCAAGTTTTTGTTGTGAACAGTGGTTTAATGAGTTCTAAAATCTACTCATGCATTTTGCAAAGTGCAAAGTTCTTTAATCGTCTTCCTTGTTTTGTTGTGGGCAATCAATTTTCCTTGTTTTCCAGTGTTTGTATGTGTGATAATTTGTCTGTGTATTATGTTATCAGTTCTTTATAATTTATAAATTATCCCCTTGCAAAATGTATTCAGATTGCATTGGCATTGTTAAATGCTCGGATGTCTACAAGATCCTTTAATGGTTGGTCTGGACCTCTAGTTCTTCCGCTGACTTCATTAATGCTGTCAAAATTTTCCTTGATTGCCCCATTGGTAAGTTTCCTATCCAGTGTTGGTAAAAGCGGCTCAAAGTGCAGAACACAACAACAGAAGAGCTTTTAGTAGTTAAAAGAGAAGAGCATTTACAAAAGTGCACTTAAAGCACACTTTTTGCACTTTTATAATAAGCTTAGGACTTTATTTTATTTTTGGTTAAAAAAATGATTTATTAGTTTTAACCTTTAAATCATAATAGTATTGAATGGACCTTTGGTAATTGTGCACTTTATGATTGCATTGTATCGCTTTGGTTACGAATGGAAGCCACTACTTACGGTTGTAGTGCTTTTTGGTCTCTGTCTTTTGGATATATTTTGATTCGGCCATGTACTTCATTTTGATCATGACTATCAAATATCATGATTGTGATTGTTTTGTAAAGCACTAGAGAAATTGTATAAAAGTTGTGTTTTAATGTTATATGATTAGTTGGTCACTAGATTGTCATATTATCCATTATTAATTGTTTTCAAATTTACTTTATGAAATTTTGAGTAATTGAACAAGTTTGCGTAAAATTTGTTCCTACAACCTTTGTACAATTGCATAAGTCTAACCATTGTAGCTAAAAGGCTAAATATATTGCTATTTGTCTTTTTTTTTTGACTCCCTGTTATATATTATGAATCCTTTGTCATTATACATTATTCTTGAAGACTGTACTTTACTTCACTCAGGCCCACACTTGTGCTTTGTGCCTAGGTTCCAAGAAATCTTTGCGCTCAAGTGTGCGTGCCTCACACTTCCACCAACATTGTTCCTATCGTTTCTTCTATGTAATTGTGTCTTCTGCTATGCTGCTGCTGATTTTTGTTTTTTTTTTTAATTGCAGAGCACTACGCAGGCAATACGATTCCAGCTGCTGCAAGCTCCCCCATCTATCATTAACTTTTCTGGTGACTTGAAATATGGTATTCCTATTTATTCAGACTTTGAAACTGTTTTAATAAATGTTTGTAGGTTGACTACGTGTTCTGCCCATGAAGTAAATTAGTTTCTGGTATTTTTCCCTTGAATCAGTATGGTTTCTTGCAATACCTTCCAACTCAATGGGTAGTATTAAAATGTTATTTCTGTTTTGTATCCCGTTAATTATGACATTATACAGTTGTAGAAGAAGCTTTATTTGGTCAAAGCTTATTTTGGGTGACTATTCTTTCTCATCCAGCAACAGAAGCATTTGACTTGTCCAACAAAGACAAGAGAAGCATTGAAAATCTGCAGTTACAGCTTGCTCCTAGACGGGTTTGGATGGCTTCTTCCATACATAGGGGTGAAGAAGAAGGTTAGTTCCTGTTAGATTCACTTTTCTACTGTTCTGCAAGTGTTTCAATCTTTTTGAGCTTGAAACAAGCAGCTAGTTTAAACATGGCTTTTTTTAGATTTATGGCTTAGGTTCTTATGCAATGCTACATCCACCAAACGTCCTTGTTTTGGTTTGTGATATCATTCTACAATGCAATTTTGCATGATTTCTAACACTACCTTTAGAGTTATGCATGCCTGTGTGCTGCATAATATTGATGTCAAAGGTCAATGTATTACTCTTCTTGCTCTTCTTAGAAAAGGAGCGGTGGTGGTGAAGAGCCTGTCTTTTATTTATGTCATATTGATTCTTTCATGCATGAGTGAGAAAATAGAGTTTCTTACAATGACTGACTAATAAATATTATGTTTTAAAATTGTTGACTGAAACGCACTGGAAACTGATTCACAGTAATGCTAGGAGTTCACAAATTGCTAAAGTTAGTGCATCCTGATGTTGTCACAATTATTGTACCTCGACATCCACAACATGGACAAGAGATTGCTCTGGTACGATTCTTTTGCATTTTTATCTGTATAAGAGTACAATAAAATCGGCAATTGATATGGTGTCTCATATTGTGTCCATATGTCTGCACCATTCTTTGTTGTTTTATATCTTGATGGCTCTTTTAATGAGTTTCTTCACTTTTGCTGCTCATGCACAACTTCTCAATATGTATGTTACCGTTTGGAGGTGGCATGACTTATTTATCTCAAATACTTGAGTTTGTGGTCAGATAAGTATGCTTTTATATATGCGACTTTGTCAGCTTTTAGGAACTTTACAATATAGTGTTTGAGATTTTCTTTTTGAGAGACCTGGAGAAAGGTTCAACTTAATGATGAAAGTAATTATGGGTTAAAAGACAAATTGCTTAATAATGTCAGCTCAATTTTGACTAAATTTCTTCAAATTTTGAAAATGGAAAAGAGAACCAGAGTATTGACAATGAAATGGTTAACAAGGGTGGTGGCTAACAAAGAAAAAATAGTGTAATCTTTGGCCAATAACCCAATGTGTGAATATGTGAAAGGGGTGGCAAAAGGTTATATTGATATGATTAGGGATATGTATGAAGGCATGGTGACCACTATTAGATTGTCTAGCTGGAGAGACGAGTGAATTTTCAATTATCAGCCTTAAGTTATCTTTTTGTTTTAGTTATGGATGAGTTGATGCGCAATATTCAGGATGATGTACCATGGTGTATGCTTTTTGCAGATGATATCGTGTTAATGGATGAGACTAGAGAAGGAGTTAACACTAAATTGGAGATTTGGAGAAAAACACTTGGATCTAAAGGATTTAGGCTATGAAGCATGGACACGGACACGGTAATTTCTAAAAAATGAGGGCACGAACACGGCAAATGGCACGACAAATTTTTTAATTTTTTATCAATATTTTTATTTTAAATACACATTAATTATTTTTTTTATTTATTATATTTTTTAAATAATGTGTTCCTATTAATTTTTTTATTTTATTTTATTTTACATACATGTGTTTATTTTTATTTTTTTAAATATGTATAAGTATATATTATCTTATAATATGTATTATATATTATCTTATAAATATATTATATGTGTAAAAATTTATATGTTATATTATAATAATAATAGTTATTATATAATAGTTAAACCCTAACTCATATTACACCTCTTGTATAGATATATATATGAATCAAGAAGATAAAACGAGAGAAAGAGAAAGAGAGAAAGAGAGACACAGAGAGAGAGAAGCGAAGCGATTGATCGTGATCGCGATCACGAGGGAGAGAGAGAGGGTGAGAGAGAGAAAGAGAGAGGGGCTCACCTTCGAAGTCGTCTGGGGTGTTCGACTGTTCGATCGACAGATGGAGCTTTGATCTTCGACTGGATCGACTGGATGGAGTTTCGATCGAAAATGATATCGCGCGACAGGTTTGTCTCCTCACTTTCTTCCTTCACACTCTCTCTCCTTTGTCTCTCCCTTCTTGCCTTGTCTCATGCCGTGTCCAGATTTGGACGCGCATGTCCCCTACAAAAAAAAAAAAAATTAAATTAAAGGGACACGGCAGATGGCGTGTCCCGTACGTGTCCTCGGCGTGTCTTCGTATCCGACACCACCACGACGATGATTTTGCCGTGTCCATGCTTCATAGGATTTAGGATAAACAGAACTAAGGCAAAATACATAAGAGTATAATTTTAGTAATACTAACAGTAACAATGGAAGCAGAGGAAAAGTCAAAATTGAGAATCAAGAACTACCTAAGAGTGAATATTTTTGTTATTTATGATCAATTATCACAATGGCTGAGGTGATTGGAGCAGATGTAATCCATAGAATTAGGGTGGAATGATTTAAGTGGAGGAGTGCGTCTTGGGTACTATGCGATAAACGAGTACCCATTAGACTAAGAGGAAAGTTCTATAGGACGGCTATTAGATTAGCGATGTTTTATAGGACGGAATGTTGGGTAACTAAGAAACATGTAGATAAGATGAGTGTTGTTAAGATGCGGATGCTAAGGTAGATGTATGGCAAAGTTAAAAAAGACAGAGTTAAGAATGAGTATATTCGAGAATGGATAGGAATAGTACCGATAAAAGATAAGTTTGAGAAAGAATAGATTGAGATGGTTTGGTCATATATGATGGAGACCAACAAAGACAGTAGTAAAGAGATGCGAAACAATGATGGTAGATAGTAGTGTTCGGGGAAGGGGTAGACCTAGATTGATGTGGACTAGTGTAGTGAATAGAGATATGAATCTCTTTAATTTGACTAACAAAATGGTCTTGGATAAAATCGAGTGGAGAAGAATGATTCAAGCAGCCAACCCCATTTGATGGGACTTAAGGCTTGGTTTGGTTTATGATCAACCATATTTGATCCAGTCGCTTTATATTAGGGGTGGATGCCAGTACCAAAAAAAATGGAGGACTTTAGTGTGGATTACACACACACACATACAACATTAAGAAAACAAAAACACAAATTTTAAACCCCCCCCCCCCCCCCCCCCCCAAAAAAAAAAAAAAAAAAAGGATTTTTGTACAGAATATACAAATATCGATCTGGCTCAAAAGCCGAGGGGTGCCATATGGCACCCCCACATCTAAATGTAATTCCTCCCCTACATGCATCGCTGTCCAAACAAAAAAGGTGACCTTCAAGGAGTTTACATTTCATATCTCCTTACAAGGGAAAGAACTCCCACTTTTCCCAACCAAGGCACCATGGTATGATTTAACATCAGCTCATCCTCTGTGTTGCCCAAGGTAGTCACATCGTATAAAAACTTAAAGAAACTCTCAAAGAAAAAAAAAAAAAAAAAAAAAAAGAATTTTTGTACAGAATATACAAATATCGATCTGGCTCAAAAGCCGAGGGGTGCCATATGGCACCCCCACATCTAAATGTAATTCCTCCCCTCCATGCATCGTTGTCCAAACAAAAAAGGTGACCTTCAAGGAGTTTACACTTCATATCTCCAAGGGAAAGAACTCCCACTTTTCCCAACCAAGGCACCATGGTATGATTTAACGTCAGCTCATCCTCTGTGTTGCCCAAGGTAGTCACATCGTATAAAAACTTAAAGAAACTCTCAAAGTTCTTGAACTCCCAATCCTGCAAAGCTTGCCAAAATTTCACATTCCAAAAAGCCTGCTTATCCCTTGAATGAAATAGTCTGCCACCGTAGTAACTCTATCCACTGCAATGCTATAATGCAGGAAGTATTAATTCTCAATCTTGGTCACTGCCTTACAGGGCATTGAGATGTGTCATTCTATTTCTTGTCTTGATAGCCATCATTTGACAATGGTATGCTACAAAGAAGGCTAGAGTAAAAGAAAAATAATGAAGATTTTAGACCAATACGAAGAATACTATGGTTCCATAAAATAAACACAACATACCATCTGAAACATACAACGTTGTCTGAAAGTTTAATTTCAGGTTGTACTACAGTACTCCGTTGTAGTATGAAAACAGTTGATAAGTATCCAACAATATTTTCTTTATCAACTCTACAAAGTGCCTGCATATGATTTTATTCCAATGAATTAAAAGGTAGATGTATTGTACATGAGTGAAGGCACCAACTCGTGAGTTGTGTTGATGATTATTTTGATGCATGAACCTCATATTGCTGCTGAAATGCTCCATTAAAATATTTACCTATGAAGGATTTGATCATATAACTTTGACTTTATGAAAATTTTCACTCGATTTGTGATAGTCTGCAATTGTCATGTCTTTGCCTTAATAATGCAGGAATTGCAGAAAGAGGGAGTGAGTGTAGCGCTAAGGTCTCGTGATGACAAACTTATGCCAGGAACAAATATATATGTGGTGGACACATTAGGTTCGTATTTTTGGCTGGTTTTAGCATTGCATCTTGTACCTTCTACTTGTTCTATGACCCACCTGAGAAGTGTATGCTTCTTTTCTATAACCAATTTGGGCCTCACAACTTGTGCTTTATTTAGTCTACAACTCAGTCATATTCATGACACTTAATTCCATCTTGTTGCGGCTAAAATTTAGAATTCATTCACCAATTCCAATATATGTAAGCAATATATATGGTCCGAGCATGTGATTATGTCGTCTTATTAAGCGAACCAATATCATCCTTAGTGTTTCGCTTTCCCTCAGACCCTCTCCTACCAGATGACCCCTTTTTAACAATATAGCCTCTGGGCCTCTTTGTTTCAAAGTATATGTTTAAGGAAGGTGCGAGAGGTGTGAATGGTTGCACTTGTGTGCTTGATGTGGTGTTCTGGAGGAACTGGTGTACCTTTGAGGAAGTAGAGACTGCAATACATAAGTTAAAGATGTCATTACTTTTGCTGCTTTCCATTACCTCTATTTCGGTGAAGGGCTTAAGTTTTTGCTTTCAAAGTATGTTGTTGATAATGTCATTGCATTCTATTTCAACTTTTTTTGTGGGTAGGTGAACTAAGAGATTTTTATAAGTTAACTCCAATAGCTGTAATTGGAGGTTCTTTCTTGCCTGATTTGACCGGCCATAACATTTCAGAAGCTGCTGCAGCTGGCTGTGCGGTTTTGACTGGTCAGTTATCCTGTAAAAGCCCTGCTTATTTTCTTCATATATGGTTCTGACAAATTTAGAGGCTTTGTGCTTTGCAACTTACAGGTCATCATGTTGGACACTTTGCCCACATGGTACAGGAAATGCAGCGGTTAAATCCTTTATCAGTTCTGCAGGTGTGAGTAACATTTTCCCATGTGTATATCCCTATCTTTTTGGCTTGAATATTATTTGGAGAATCTGATTAGTTGGAACATCTTCTCAACTATAGTTATATGTTCTTCAAGAAAATTGCATTCATTATTAAAATTTTGGTACATCCTTGTCTCCTTTTCTTTTGGACTGAAAAATGTTGTCGTCTTTGTTCTATAGTGGTCTTGTCCACTCATAATTCTGGCTTCCCTTTCCCAGGAGCACATCTACAGAATAGAGAGAGCACGTACCACATTCCTACTATACCAGGGCCTTTAGCTTTCACTGGGAAGAAGAGATGACACAATGTGCAGTCTAGATTTGGATTTAGCTTAAAACCGTGCTTTGTGGTTGAAATTTTAGCTTTGAAAAATTTGTAGTAATATCTCGGCTTTATTCTCGATTTAATGGAGATCTGGGTCCATTTACCTTAAACCAAGTCAGTCTAGTAGTGACATGGTTTGCTCCTTTTTCCTTTTTCCCCAGTTGACATAAGAATTGTGAACAAAAAGTGGAGCTCATCCTAGCAGCTACCCAAAGCTGTTCAAATATCTGTTTGTAACAATGCCAAAAGATCTAAGTAATATTCTTGATTTGGCACTTATTAAGTTTGAACACCATAAGATTTCTTAGAATGCGAGATTGTTAGATCCTAATGTAGGCAGTGGTTTGACATGAGTGTTCACATTTGTTTAGTTCTACTGGGCCTAAATATAAAAGAATTGATGCCATATCATGGAGTCTCTTATTTCCCTGAACTTTTTAGAGATAGCATATTATCCACCCACCCCATATTAAATTCATTACCTGGACTTTTTTTTTTTTTGATAAATCATTCCCTGAACTTTTTGCTTGAGTAAAATTAACACTTTGTTAGTGCTCTACACAAGGATTATAATTTGGCAAAATTTTCTTTTTGAATCCAGGTGTAAAACTTTTCTTTTCTTTTCTTTTCATTTTTCTTCCTTATGCATTCATTCTTGTGTTCATTTATTCACTCATTCTTGTCCTTGTCCTCGTTTCCAAGAATCTTAGTGGTACTGATCTGCAGGTTTCTGGAAAACTAGAGCTTGAAAAAGCTCTCTGTGAATTCTTCAGTAACACAGCAGTGCTCGAAGCAAGGCGTGCAGCTGCAAGACAAGCATTTCATGCTTTGTCAAGTGGGATTATTGAAAACATTTGGAATATATTACATTTCCATGTTTTCAGAAAAGCTTTGAGTTAGAGGTGAAAGCTGGTGGCTACAGAAAAAGTAAAAGGTGAAGTGTGACTACATCCTTAAGCATGAAATTTATGGTATCTGGAGCTGAGTCGTTTCATAAGTGCTAAACCACAAAATCCAATTATGTAATTTGTTGGTTACTGGGAAAACAACTTTTGTGTTGCAACTATGTGAAGAAAAAAAAACTGTGATTGAACAAGCAACAAAATAAATAAATCTGTCTTGTATTTGTGCGTGAACTAGATGTCAAGACCCGGGGGTACAAACATGCAAGGATAATTAGAACAAAATAAATTTCCATATCTTTTTCAGTTCTTTTTTTTCCTCAAATAATTTCTTGATGGGCTAACATTATTATCACTGTCTCCTGTTAAATGAACTGTTTGAAACATGTACATAAAACGAGTGTAGCTGAAATGAGAATGTTTAGAGATAAATGTGTGGTTTGACTAGATAAAATAGAATTAGAAATGAATATATTTATGATGTGGTAACAATAGCACTTATTGAAGATAAATTAAGAGAGAGTAGGTTAAGATGGTTTGGTCATGTACAATGAAGACCTCTAGATGCAACGGTAATAATAGGATCTCCTTAAGTGGAGATACTGGGGGGGAGACCTTAGTTGACATGGGATGTGGTAGTGGAAAAAGGTGCAAATTTATTGAATTTAACTTAGCATATAGCAATTGGTAGAGCTGAGTAGAGAAAAATGATTCATGTAGCCAATCCCACTTGATTAAGACATGAAGCTTAATTTGGTTTGGTTTTTGGAGCATTGTGAAAGAGGCTTCTGACTTGAATCGTTCTGTGGTGAAAGAGATTAATATCTGACTGTTTGAGTTTGCTTGCAGCTGTAACCCTCATGGCTTTCATTTTTCTAACTAATTAGGGAAAATATGAAGTTAATTATCTTCGAAAGTAAAATATTACATTGTTATGATTGCTATTATCATTTAACCCAAAAAAAAAAAGTAGGGCAAAAGAATCTTACAATTGTTGGTGTTTTGCCTATTTTTTATGCTGTTCATTGAGTTAGCAAGAGAAAAAATCTGTTATTTTGTTCTGTCAAAAAAATAAATTAGGAGAGAAAATCTGACGATTCATTCTTTGTTGCACTAAAGAACAGGTGAACATGCTACTGCTAACTTGATAGTCCATCAGGAAGAGAACTATGACAACCGCAGATGATATAGTGAAACGGTATTGCCTCAGCCACAACCTATGCAGCTGTTGCTCTCTTATGTTGGAATTCTCATAAAGCCATACAGAAGTAGTTGAGTCCCCTCACGAGCTTAAAGCCAGCTTCTTTTCAGCAAAATGGCAAGCGATCACTAGGTATAGCGAACAGATCATCCTTATTTGAACATGTCATACTCTTTGTATGCTTGGTCTGAGAAGCTTCCGGAAAACTGGATGGTTCAGGTAATCTGCACATTATAACAAACCTCCTGCCAGCTTCCCCGACTGTCACAGCTAGGCGAGGTGGAAGAATGTCCCAGGGTGATTTATTCTCCCCAACACTTGCTAGTTTGCACCACACATTCTTTCGAGCTTCGCACTGTTACAGATGCGATATTAGATTGCCCTGCTGGAGAAGCCATGAAAATGACGTTTTAGGTTTTTTTCTTCAGATGTTGAGGGTGAACTTGGGCACATTAGGCTGTGTTTGAATCGTGAATTTAAGTAGAGATTTGTGAAAAGAAAATAAATGAGGGAAATTATTTCTTTTATGACAGGGCCCACCATTTGATATGTATGATCATGATTATTTTATATATGTTAGTTTTGTAATTGATTGTGTTTGTAAACTCTGTTGATTTACAAATGCTTGTTGATAGGCCACCAAATCACATAGAAGGGGTTAACAATTTGCTCAAATTGTGCCCACTTCTGACTTGTAAATATAAATGTTGATGCCAAACCAATGAGTCACCCACTTTTTCTTATGTGATCAAACAGTGAGTTGGGATTAAAGTTGACATGGTGGTTGGATCATTATTCTTTTTCTCCGATGGGATTTTGCAAAAGCAATAATGATGTACTAGTAAGGGAGTAAGAAGAGCACGACCTTCAACTTTTAAGAAATCACATTTAAGTTAAAAGTTTCAAAAATGTTTTAAATTTTTACCCCTTAAAATTATATATTATACCTTTTAATTTCTTTTTTCTTTTCTTAATTATACTTCATACAAACTCAACCCACAGGTATTAAAACATTGACATAGATTCACTTCTTATTTAATACACATAAATCTAAGAAATTATTCCCCTCTTTTTTTAGATCCGAGTAGATGGACTATTTTGTGAAATAGGTTAAAAGTGAGTTTATTGGCTTTTGTGGTTTTTTTGAGTCATATCACATTTTTATTTTTATTTTGTATGTTTTTTAAAAAAAATTAAAAAATTAATTTTTTAATCTACTTTTCAAAATATACTTAGGGTTGGTTTAGGGTGTACTAAAAAAGTGCACTTTTTATCTTTTTACGAAAAGATGTGCAGAAAAGTAGAGAGGTGATGTGATGGAAAAAAGATAAAAAGATAAAAAGATTGATTATATAGTAGATGACAAACAAGGCTTTAAAATGTGCTTTTTATTAAAATCATTACACTTTAAACATTTTCATTCCTTTTTATAATATTTTTGTACTTTCATCCCCATAAAAAACCAATACCAAGGGCACTATATATATAAATAAATAAAATATTAAATGTAACAGTGATGATATTTTAAGTAATTGGCCAATAAAAAATCACAAAAGAACTAAGTTAACAAGTTTTATTTCTCATTAATTCAACATTGTTACGATCTCTATTACAAATTAAAATTATTCATTAAATAATAATATCACTACATAATATTAACGTTATATTCAATATTTAGTCAGATATTAAAGAATTTGACTAACCGTACATTGACAATATCATGGTCTGGTCTGGTCTGTACGTGACAGCTAATTTTCAACGCCAATCCCGCCTTCAATCTCTGTGTTTATGCCACCCAAAAAATTGACAACAAAAAAGAAAAAGAAAAAGACTTGTTAGGCTTGTACCAATATTAAGCTGTAACCATTTTTCTGTACCCATGAAGGCATTTCTTTCAGATTTGATCAACAGATTCAGCATTTGGCAAAACTACTTTACTTCCTCATGACTTAAAGTTTAGGAATTTTTTTTTTAAAATTTTTACCTCCCACAAAAAATGGGTAGTAAATCATAGACAAATAAAATTTGATGTTCTTGATTATTTATTAATATAAGTGAGAGCATCTTTAATGTCTCTTTAAATGAGACTTGTTAGTTATTGTAGTTAGCATTGTCATATTTTAGCTACTAATGGACTAATTATTACAATAGTTAATTTAAAAAAAAAAATTCAAGATTAGTTATATTTGAAGAACCTTGAGAGCGCTCTTTAAATAATTTGTGTGTATAGATAGGTAAAATAAAAAGTAATATGGAATACATAAGTAAAAAAAAGAATTAGACAAAATAAAGAACTACAGTATCTTTTTTATATTTTAGCTGGTAAAGTTGTTGGAGTTGCTCTAAAATTATAATTTTAACAACACATATCTAAAAGTATAATAATAATCACTAAGGTGAGAATTCATAATGACAAAAATAAATAATTCAATATAAAAGGAGAAGGAATATAATTTGTGTAAAAAAAATTCATATAGAATAATATGAGCTATTTATATTTATTCATTGAAATCAAAAAGTTCACCATTATAAATCATAATTTCATTGTCACGTGATTTTATTTGACAATTCATTTAAAAAATTAATAAGTTAACATTTTTCATATAATAAAAAACTCACATTAGGGAGAACCAATCAATATATACTTTTAACAATGGTAAGTCTCAATTAAAATGAGATTTAAAAGTTGTGAATGAAGACAGTGTGATCATATATTTCAAATTACATATCTCATGCATGTTTACTCAAATAAAGCCCCTTTTACTGTCAAGGACACAGATTACATATAGTAAGAATTCCATTAGTGCTTACAAATTGCATTTATTGTCATAAATGATTGTGATCCAAAGACACCCAAATGAATGGCACTAGCCAGTCTATAGGTTTGTCAAAGTGGTTATATTCCAATTTTTTTTTTATAAATGTAAGATCCAAACATAAAATAAATGGGCTTACATTTATGCAGTGATATGTACAATTTAACTATGTAAAGTGAAATTTTACTTTTTATTTTTAAAAAATTGCCAATTAATTGAGTTATTGATGAAGTTTGAGACCCCAAGCACTAACTCAGCACATTGGTATGGTACTTCTAAATCAATAAGTCATGGACTAGACAAACTTGACTTGACCCACCTTATTTAAATGGATGAAAGATAAGATTGGTCCATCCATTTTTTTCTCTATTAATCTTTAACACTGCATACACATATCATAATAGCGTTCTAAAATTATTCAATAATTTTTTATTTATTAATGGAAAAAAGAAATGTGGAAAAAATATGAAGAAATATATATATATATATATATATGTATACAAGAATGTAGTTGGATGTGAAGGAAAAACTGTTTGGTTGTTTAGGTTTGCAGGAAGAGGGAGAAAGAGAGCTCGTGAAATTAAGAAAAAGTGTTGTAATGTAATTTACTCACAATCACCAAGAAAAAGTTTCTTCTAATCTCGTTGAAAAATAATGAAATCTTTCGACTTTGTGCTTCCTCCCACATCAAAAGACTGAACTATTGTGACTATATTGCCATAGTGGTATGATATTGCCTCCCCATTTCACAAATTTCATGATGTATCCTCAATACAACATTTTGAAAGATTTAAATAATTATTACAAAATATAGAAAATTCACAAATTCAATATAATATTACTTTCAAATTAATAATAAAAATCCAACTTTTTTTGGTTTAATAGTTGAGAGGGAATAAAAATAACTAATAGTTGAGAGGAAATAAAAATAACCACAAAAATTATGTGGGTCCAGACATTGCCACGTGGCATGGTTATAAATTATCATATGTATGACAATTATCAAATTCTTATCAAACACTGTACTAGTTTTTTATTTTGTGCAAAACTCATCAGGATATGAAATCTTATCGATATAGAAGTCCTTCACAACCAGAGATTGTTTGGGATATGACTTCAGAAACATTCAAAATACTTGGTAAGTAAGTCACTGGATATTATAAATAGGCAACACCCTCATGAGTTGAGGTACGCATTTCTCTCTATGAATTAATCCATTAAATATTTTGACAATATTGGAGGACTGACTTGGACATTAGAGGGCCCCCGGCTACGGCTGGGGGTGTTTTGTCTTGCAGATAGCGATCGCGTGGTGGTGCTGATCATCTTCTTTGTTGGATTTATTTATCATCAAATACGGTATTTTTTATGTCCATACAATTGGCGCCATCTGTGGAAAACGATAAAATTCAACAAAGATAATTAATAAATCATGATAAACTTTCTTGGAGGGCTTTGTTCACGATATTGATTGTTTTGTTTTTGACCGATTATATACTTTTATGTTGGAGTTCATCAACAACAAAAACAAATAGAATGTTCTTGTATAAATATGCTTTCAAATCTACATGGATTTAAGCCACTGCTTTTATAATGGTCATCATTCATTAAAGGCTCTGCCAAAGATTTGCTATCTCAATATATATAGTATAATGTGTTTATGTGGATATGATGAAAAACGATGTTTGCAAAGTCACATGCAACGAGTTTCAGGATTTTGTTCGTACACACTCGTTTTTGTTTTCTGTAGTTGCTTCTAGGCTCGGTGAAGTTAATCGTACACATAAGAGGATTGACACAAACTCAACGGAGGAAAGAGAAATAGATGAGTTGTGATATGGTTAAATAAATCAAAATATAAGTCATTGCAAAAAAATAGTGGCTTCCTAGCAAGATATTATATTGAATTTTTATTATTTGTGGAATATGGATTTTATGCATTATTACTCTGCGGATGAAGATATTTTATTATGTATTGTGGTGAATTTTGATTATCTATGGACCATGAAGTTCATGCATTATTATTCCGACCACGAATATATGAAAGATCAAATTATTATATCAGACTTTTATTATCTGAAAAATATGAGTTTTTATACTAAACGTGGATGAAGACTATTATTTGGGTCAAATATGCTGAGATGGAGTTCGCGCTTTATGGATCATGGGGGCAATACGAATTACGCTACCCTTTGCTTACAAATTTTATCTCCTTGCCAAGTTGGTTTGGGCAAAAGATAAGTTGGTAGGTTTGACCAACTTAAAAAATCTTTGTCAAGCGGGTTTTGCTTGGTGAAGTAGATTGGCAGGTTTGACCAATTTTGAAAATCTTTGTCGAGCAAAGTAGTTGGCAGATTTGACTAACTTAAAACATCTTTATCAAGCGGGTTTTGCTTAGTGAAGTAGATTGCCAGGTTTGACCAATTTTGAAAATCTTTGTCCAGCAAAGTAGGTTGGCAGATTTGACTAACTTAAAACATCTTTATCAAGCGGGTTTTGCTTAGTGAAGTAGATTGGCAGGTTTAACCAATTTTGAAAATTTTTGTCGAGCAAAGTAGGTTGACAGGTTTGACTAACTTGAAAAATCTTTGTCGAGCGGGTTTTGCTTAGTGAAGTAGGTTGGCAGGTTTGATCAACTTTGAAAATCTTTGTAGAGCGGGTTTTGCTCAGCAAAGTAGGTTGGCAGGTTTGACCAACTTAAAAAATCTTTGTCGACTGGGTTTTGCTCGACAAAGTGGGTTGGCAAATTTGACGAACTTTGAAAATTTTTGTAAAGTAGGTTGATGGTTTGTCCAACAATGAGATTCCTTGTCGAGCGAGTTTTGCTAGCCAATAAGCAAGTTGGTGTTTTGGTAGTTCCTAACAAGATTAGGTGTTCTTGGAATAAGTCCTCATGAGGTTAGGCATTTTTGAAATAAGTCCTAACAAGATTAGGCG